GAGCCACCGCGCCCGGCCTCAATGTTTCTTTACTTCTGGTGCGTACCACACACTAAGGACCTACGGAGGTGAGCCTTACTCTAAGTGATAAAAGGGTTACTAAAAACGTCATGCCTGACTGTGTGAAAACAAAATCATCAATGAAATGCACCAAAGAAGCTGACGCATTATTAATATTCTCTGCTAGCTCTGTTCTGCCAGCTTTTAAATTAGCTTTAGGAACAAAAACATATCAGGCATGGGTCAGGGTTGTAGGAAGAAACACTTGGAGAGTTTCTCACCACATTCTGAACTCTATCCATTTTTTTCTTCTTTAGGAGACAGGGTCTCACTACATTGCTGAGGCTGCTCTTGAATTCCTGAGCTCAAGCAGTCCTCCCACTGTGGTCTCTTGAGTAGCTGGGATTATAGATGGGTGCTACCATGCCCGACTTAAACTCTATCCTTTTGTATAACTTATCTCCTTGAATTCTTGCAACGGTCCTAGGAGTTAAGTATTCAAATCTCCAAACCGAGGAAATAAAGTGAAAGGGAGAGACTGGGTTCACCTTCAGGCTTCAAATGCCACGCATCATCTTTCTGTCATATCACAGTAAAGAGCAAAAGAGCACTTAGCAGTGAGTCTCTTTTATAAGTGCATACTTCAAAGCCTTACTTTTAAGGAATTGTTAGCTCATTTTAGACCTGTACATTTACCTACTATACATGGAAATAAAAACTGGTCAGTGACCTACCTGCTTTAAAACCCTAATGCTAATTATATTTTATAATCAAACTCTCGGCCAGGCGCAGTGGCTCACACCTATAATCCCAGCACATTGAGAGGCTGAGGCAGGTGGATCACTTGAGGTCAGGAGTTCAAGATCAGCCTGGCCAACATGGTGAAACCTTGTCTCTACTAAAAATACAAAAAATTAGCCGGGAACGGTGGTGGGTGCTTGTAATCCCAGCTACTTTGGAGGCTGAGGCAGGAGAATCACTTGAACCCGGGAGGTGGAGATTGCAGTGAGCCAAGATCTCGCCATTGTACTCCAGCCTGGGAGACAAGAAAAAAACTTTCCCCCCAAAAAAAAAAAAAAAAAAAAAAAAATTCAAACTTTCCTGGCTTTAATACATGTCAAATGTAATAACCTTGAAAAGAGGAAGCGAGTATTATAAATTCTATGGGACAATGCCTTAGAAAGCATGGTACGTCATATGCAGACAGTTGAAGTTCTTAACTTTTCTTTTTTAAAAATTAGAGTTGGTTTACAGAAAAGTGACAGAGAATTAATACTTTTCCTTCAGACACTTATGACTCAAAAGTGAGTTCTTAGACTTTGAAATTCATCCTGAACAACAGTCTATCATCACTATCACACGGCTCCCAGCATGTGTAACTGATGAGAGGAAGGGAGGCTGTGCTGGGAGCAGCAGGAGACCCCATTTTGATGGGCACAAAGCAAGTGCATCCATTTCGGCCAATTTAGGGACTCATAAGTTTTACTCCTGCGATCCTGTAAGCTTGCCTTTCTCTCACTGTTCCCTTTCCTTCCCTTGTCTCTTTGTCCTATTCTTTCCATTACCCCTTGTTATGGACTTGTGTGCCCTGAAAATTCATTTCAATATCCTAGCCCCTGATGTGTTGGTATTTGAAGGTCGGGCCTGTAGGAGGTGATTAGGTCACGGGGGTGGGGCACTCAGCACTCACAAATGAGACTAGTGCTCTTATAAAGGGCACTCATGCAACCTAGAAGAAGGCTGTCACCAGAACCCAACCACGCGGGCATCCTGATCTCAGACTGCCAGCCTCCAGAACTGTGAGAAATAAATGTATGTTGTTTATCAGCCACCCACTCTATGGTGCTGTGTTATAGGGGCTCAAACTGATAATGAAACCCCTAGCTCTATGTATACAGTGGGCCCTAGAAACAAAACCATGTAATAACAACAAAAGGTAATTTAAAAACATGTATTAAGCGCTGGTACTATGAAGCACTGTGCTAAGGGCATCACGTGTGTTAACTCATTCAACCAAGCAACTGTATGAAGCAGTGTCACTATTTTATAGCTAGGGAAACTGATCAGAGAAAGGGTATGCAACCTGCCCAGGGCCACAAAGCTCTCATGATAGAGCATGATTTGAGTTCTGGGCAGGCACAGCAGCCGCATGACACAATCACGTCGTGATGTTCTGTGGTGTTACCATCCAGAGGCTCCTGGAGCTCTGTGCTCTAGCAGCCTATTGGATCAGCCGAGAACTTAACTGTTAGGCTACACCGTTAAGTGTAGACCTTAAATATAATTTCGAAGAAAGCCCTCATTCATCTTAAAGGCTGCCTCACTGAGTCTTTTCAACAATTCTTCGCTCTTCCTAGGATGACCTCCAAGGTAGAGCCAGGTTCCAACCTCAGGGGGAGTGAGCCTAGAGGGTGGGGCTGGAGCAGTCAGCTGCTGAAGCAGGAAAGGCACAAGCACCTTCTCTGAGTGTCTCAAATCTTACTAATGTCAAAGTCTCAACCATCATTATTACTTCACTGAAGTTTTAAGAGCCCACTTTTTCAAAATGCGCTCAGAAAGAGGAATCTTCCCCTGCTACTGCCCTCATCCCCCTCTCCCCATGTCATGTTCCCACCTCGGTTTGCTATGTTTGGGCAAGAAAAATGACATCCCATCTTTAGTCAGTTCATTTCCTGTTGTGCTTTGTGAGGAGCCCAGCTGCACTAAGTGGTAGCAACAGTTAATTAGTTGCCCTTTCTAGAAAAGGTATTTCTATTTCCCCATTGTCCCTACGCCTCAGGACAGGAGCTTGTGCGTACGAACGAGGCCATCTTCACCTGAATTTCCCAATTTCTGTGGCTTGTAATTCCCTCTGGTACTGTTCCAGGGTCCCCTTACTATGTGTACATTTCTAAGAGCATCCGTGAGGTCTGTCACATGTGCTTAAGATCAAGTCTGTACCCTCTGAGTGCAGGTACTCTCTCCTGTTAATCTGTGCCTGGCATCTGCTGGGGTGGCTGGGCAGCTGCCCTGACCACTGTGCACCCAACTGTCTGTTGTCGGACACAACAATTTCCACTGGTACCTGATGCTACTCTTCTGGGAGAATGCTGCTCCACCTGTGAGGCCAGCTCATATGTGACCTCAAGCTAAAAAAGCTTCCAAGAATCAAAATAGCACTGCATTCTGCCCAAACAGTGTCAGTCTTGCTTATTGCAAAATTGGGGGTTGAAGGTAGTCCCTCTTGATAGGGGTCAGACTTAGTGCCTGGAGCAGCATGAGAACATGCTTCTATGTGACTTCTCTCACTAGAGGCCCCAGGTACAGTTTCACAAATGTACGCCTGTCCATCCCTCAGCATAGGAAAATGTATAGAAACAGAGGGATCCAGTTCCACATATCCAACTCAGTTTAGCCTCATTTATATTGAAATTGAGTTTCTGCAGAAGAAATCAGTTATTCAAAGTATATATTTTAGCATATAGAAACTGTTATTGTTCATCTCTCTCTCTCTTTTTTTTTTTTTTTTTTTTTTTTTGGAGACAGTCTTACTCTGCTGCCCAGGCTGGAGTGCAGTGGCGCAATCTCAGTTCACTGCAACTTTATTTCCAGGGTGCAAGCGATTCTCCTGTCTCAGCCTCTCAAATAGAAAGGATTACAAGTGCTCGTCACTATGCCCAGTTAAGTTTTGTATTTTTAATAGAGACAGGGTTTAGCCATGTTAACCAGGCTGGTGTTGAACTCCTAGCCTCAAGTGATCCACCTGCTTCAGCCTCCGAAAGTGCTGGGATTACAGGCATGAGCCATCACCACCCCCAGCCCTATTGTTCATCTCTTGATCAATATCAAGAACAAAACTGGTTAACCATATATGTACTATGAAACTATAATTGGAAGTCATCCCCAGTAATATCTTGAAAGAGTAACACAAAGAAGAGAATCAATACTTTAACATTCATTGAAATACAAGTCCCATTTGATGACATTCAGAAAAGACAACATTAACAATGATTCCAGAATTAACTCTAACGTGGTGACCACAAGCACAACAGACATCTGAACATGAAAAAGTTAAATTTCAAGCAAAGTGCACTCAGTAATAACTTAATAAGAGCTACTCAGCACATTATAGGTTGGAGCTCAAGGAAGACACTTGAATCCAATGAAGAATTGTTCTAGTTTGGAGAATATGCTAATTTTCCTCTGGTAATAATTTTAGAAAACATAGGTTTTCTTCTCCAGGCAATTATTTTAATGAATCAACTGGAGTTTCAAGAAATAATCAAATAAGTTCAGTTTGGTTTCAGGTTCAGCAAAATGAGATCATGCATTCTGTTTTTGAATGAGGTTGAGGTCAGGTCCTTTGTCTAAAACAGACTAATAGATAGGAATTGAGATAATCTTATTTTTATGCCCTTGACTTCTTTGATCTTTCCTCCTGCTTCTCTTTCCCAAGCATCTATAGATTCCTGTGTTTTGATCTCATTGAACTTTTCTGTATTGTATGTTAACTTCTCTTCCCTTCCAAACTGAGTTTCTTGTCAGATCTTTCAGTCTTTTATTGAACTACTAGAACAATGTTCCTTCCTACACACAAGTGGGATACTGATGAACCAACAAGGTACTCCTTTTATCAATGCCTTCACTCTTATTAAACTAAATGACCACACATTAATATCATGCTAATAACATGTGTGGAACCAGAATGGTAAGCGACTTGAAGGTAACATCATCTCTCAAAATACAAGTGCCCAGAGCAATGCTCAAATGAGTATAAGCACAGAGTTAAATGGTTAAAAATAATGTACATCAGTAAAAAATGTAAATCAGTAAAGATTTTCCAAATAACAGCTTGCACAATTTGTGAGATCAATGGTAGAAATGATAATGTAGAGAAGAAAGATTTCATTTCTTTACAATTTTCAAATTGCAGCATGAAATTGGTATTGGTGTTATATTGACTCTCGGCAGAAATGGTTTCTTCCTAGACATGGGAAGAATAAGCTCCAGATCTTTCTTACCTGTTATGGTGGCTTTGTTGATGGATGGTTGGTTGCACATGGGTGATCTTCTGACAAAGACAGAAAAATACAAAGCAGTAAATATGTGGGGCTTGTTGATCTGATTGCTCTCTGAGTCATTTCAGATATAGCATTTTACTTTAAAAGATTATTTTTAAGTTTGGACATGCAAATGAGTTCTTTCAGACTAGCCAGACAAGTCCCTAGGTGTTCTTTGTATTATGGTTCAGATCACACATGTCCAAAAAGAAAACTGTTAAATCTCACAGTGATTGACTTGGGGTAAATAAGCTGATGTAAGTGCCACTGGGACATGAGAGAAGAGGAAATTCATATTGACTCTATTCACTGCAGCCAGGGCTTACAGACTTTCTGAATTTGAAAAAGCAGTCAATTTATAATTGCTTTCCCTAGCATAGGGTTAAGAAATTTTTATTGTTGGCATAAATTCTCATGATTGCCTGTACATTATGAGAAGCGAATGATTTGTTGTAAACTATCTTATAATTAGAGAAGCTATTTGAACTTTTTTCTTTCTGTTTTCTTATATTGAGAAACATCTCTGATATATTTATTAGAGAGGTATATTAATGGCTTTCTAAGTAGATACTATAGAGGCTTTAGAAATACTATAAGCCAAAGGTAATTAAATAAATTCTATCTTATATTCTCTGTTTTCAGATGCTTGCCAAGTTCCCCAAAATGACTATAAACCACTTGAAGTTAAAAAAAAAAGCATACTCTGATTAACTTATATTCCCTATAGAGCCTAGCACAATGCATCCAGTATTCAGTCAATGCTTAATAAATAATGTTGAAAAGAATATCATTGATAAAATATTCATCAACATTTTTGAAATATAACTTTATAACATTATTACTTATGATTGACAACTTTGAAAATATAATAATTAAAAAACACTTTTAGATTCAAAGAGTCTGATATAAATATATTAGATATACGATAATTATAGATATATATTGCCTCTACTAATGGCTAACACTTAATAAACACTTCCTGTGGACCAGACATTGCTAAATAAGCACTTTAAATGAACTATCTCATTTAATCCTCACAATAAGCCTTAAGGAAGTAAATTTCCTTGTTCTCATTTTACCGATGAGAAAAACAAAACTCTGAGAGTTTGCAGAACTTGTTTTAACTAACAAAGCTGAGATTTGAACTCTACTAAAGTAGTCCTAGGGCCTATACTCTGCTCTGTTGCCTTAGTTTTAGATGTTTTTTTTGGAACCTATATGCACAGCCTCACATATGTGCAGATGGCATCAGGCTCTTCAAATACGCCTTGCTGAGATGACTCTCTTAGCAGGGCTGGGGAAACGTGGGGAAAGCAGCCTAGGATTTTGTAAATTCTCACTGGTTCCACTCAGCCTCTGGCTCCCTTTCATTTCTCTTTAGTTTATTGGTAACAGTTTGGGATTAAAATTTTGTGTTTGATTGAAAATGCACCAAATTTTACTTCTGAATTATTTTAGTTTTTTAATTATAAAATAACATGGTTGGGGGAAAATGGGGAAAATTTAAACTTGATAAACCAGAAGGTTAATGTTTTAAGCAGATGCTCTGAAATAGCTCTGGTCTATATATCAGTAATTATCTTCTTTTTAAATTTTTCAAAAAAAATTTTGAGACAGGGTCTCACTCTATTGCCCAGGCTGGAGTGCAATGATGTGATCATAGCTCACTACAGCCTTGAACTCCTGGGCTCCAGTGATTCCCCTTACTACCTCAGCCTCCCAAGTAGCTGGGACTACAGGTATATGTCACCATGCTTGCCTAATGAATTTTTTTTTTTTTTTTTAGAGATGGGGTCTTGCTGTGTTGAACAGGCTGTTACTTTCTTGCTAAGAGTTTATCATTCAAATAATTGATATCCTGATTATTTCTTTTCAGTCCTTGCTCTGTGAAAATGTAGAAATCATTGATTTTGTCTGGGAAAGGTATGAAATGAATATTTTTATACTCTTCTACAGTTTTGGAAAACCAGATGGTTGACTTGTTACTAATTATCTCCTCTCACTATCAATCCTACAATTAATTGGCACTCAGAAACTTGATAGCTCAATAAAAAATGGCAAGCAGAAAATATTAATCCTTTGATCCATGGTTGTATCGATACCTCTTTTAATGACAAATGAGCCAGGACTCACTTCTGGAATGAAAAAAATCTCAAGAGCAAAACAAAAACAAAAACAAAAAACCCAAGGTGACAGGAACCAGTAGTGTCTAACAAGTCAGTAGTGTGCGTCTGAAGACCGGCCCAGGGGTCGGATTTTGAACGCATTCTTCCTAGACTCCTTTTCTGCAGCAAATAAAAAGGGTGGCTTGTGCAAGGTAGCACACGCCTTCCACAAAATCCAAGGGTGAGCTTGGAAATGCTCTGGTGGCTCTACGAGTGCCAGCAGGGAAAATTCTCATTCCTCCAGGGTCATCCTCTGATAAGCCAGTTACATCACTTCGTTCTCCCTGAACAGAATTGAGTTTAGCCATGCATAGATTGAATCCTACTACTCTGATGCCCAAAGAATCTGATTTGGTTTGAAACAGTAACAGAGGCACAAATTTGCATTGACCAAAGGAAGACCACAGGGCCTTTACTCAGAGTCTGCCAGATAATACTATTTGGTTAGGTATCACCCTGGGCATTGTCAAGACAGGGAGGAAGTTTGGGCTTAAGCTATGATTTTCTGTTTTCTTCAAGCTCATCCTTTTGGTTTTAATCTGTTTGGTCCCTGTAAGTCAGCAGAAAACTTCTGTCTTGCATAGAACAGGCCTCAGATCATCTCTCTTAAGCCTGACTGATCAACTGTTTGCCCGTCACAGCTTTAAATGCTGGTACCCAGGTGACCATATATAAAAGAAGCATAAAGGCAGTTTCTTGTTCACCTTTTAAAAACAACAAGTTCAGTTTCCTGGGTAAATTCGAGACAAAAAAGTTTGGGAGTGATAACCAGTAACTTCATTTCTTCTGCAGAGCTGAGACTCTCTAAGGGAGAGGTGACTGACCTGATAAGCTACCAAATCCTCAAAGCCCCAGGGGGCTGCTGAGGTCAATATGCTATTGTATGGCCATGTTACATAGAAAACGTGATTGGTAATGAACAGGTACCTCAAAGCACACCCTCAGGTTTCACATGCTGAGTTACTACTTTACTCTATCAGCAAACAGGCCTTTGCAGAGTGATAGACTATGTATTATGCTAGGCACAGGGAATACAGATGTGAGCCAGCTACATCTCTACTCACTGGGAACTGACAATGTCCAGCAGCATCCCAATAGACAAATAGGCAACAGAAGCACAGAGAGATACACGTTAACATAGGAATGAGGCACGAGGTGCAATGAGACAAAAATGGAAAGGCACATCACCTTGATTAGGGCTTGTGAGTGTGTGTTTATGTTGGGTATTGTCAGGTGCAGTGCTCCAAAAGAAATTTTATTTAAGCTGCAACCCAAAGAATAAATGACAATTAGCCCAGTAGATGAGGAGAGGAAGACAATGAGAAGTGTACAGGCTGAGCGAATAGAACTACAAAAATTCACTACCTGGAAATACAGAGGCTAATGGGTCCCATGCCAATTACTTGCATTGTGGCATTTATATCGATTTTTAAAAACTTTTTTTCTATCACAAGAAGTACTTGAATAATGGCCAGAGCTATTTTTGATAATGGAAAATGTGAATTTGGGAGGTCAATTTTATTATTATGAAATGGAAAGTTCAGATTTTTCATTATTTTTAAGAAGTAGTAACTACTATGAAATGTTATACACTTAGGTAAGTTATAGTTCCTAATACACTTATATTCCCTGTCCTCTTAGTATTGATTTAAATTTTTTTTTCTGGAAAATTATTTGAAGTTGGTATTTTAATATTTTATTTAGTATTAATAACAGATTTTTAAATGGACATTTAAATAATAGCAAACCAGTTTTTCATTTAATATCGAAAAATTACTTTTATCCTTTTAGATTTTTTTACGTTTATCAAGAACTCCAAATGATAATCATTTCCCATCTTAGCTGTCCCTCTTTCAAATGCTTTCTGTGTTGTCATATGAATCACAATTCTACTAATTGCTCCATGAATGCTGCTGATTTAAAAGTCAGTAACAGCAGGAGAATCAAATATTTTTGCTATGATATGGTGCTTCTCCAAATCATTGTTATCTTGAGAGGATGACTTTCAGCTGACCTTAAGGTGTGATGAGATTATTCACCCATGGTTAATTTATGAAGTAAGCCCAAACTATAAAGTTACCCTGAGTGTAAATAACTGGAGAGAAGACTGATCATGCCAGGTGATTTCTGACAGATGGAATCACCATATTTATTTGTCATATTGCTTCATGTCTGATATTAGAACCATCACCACAAAGTATTTATAGAAAATTAACAGGACATCATATGACTTGGTGTAGACGGTTAGACAACATGGCAACAACACAGATAAGTCTAACATATTGCCTGGGGTTCAATCACATTGAGGGAACTTATTTAAGAGTTCAGCAAAAAAGAGGGGGAAAAAAAGGATATCTTACTTGCTAGGTGCTCGGTCTTGCAAATTAGTTAATGCAGCAAAGTTGTTTCGTACAGTTCGCAGACTGGCCAAGACCTACAACAAGAAAGGATTCTTGAAACTTCTTGAACTAAGGCCATTTAAAATACACTGGAAAATGGTTTGTTAAGAGAAAACTTGATACTGCTTGCAACTTAGTTTCATATACCACTAAAGAATCTCCCAACACTTAGTGAAATTTGCAGGTATCCACATGAAATCCAGAGAGGCCAGACTGCAGGGATTTTTCAGAAATCTCTCCGCATTATCTATGAATATGGTGACAGTAGCAGCAGTTTCCAGGGTATTATTTCTGGGTTCCTTAGTCACCCAGACAATACTCCAGGCGATATACATATAGCACATTTCAAATAGTATAATATAAAATGTGAATAAATCTCACTTTAGGGATAAAAAATTCCCTGCTCCCAAATTGTCTTCAAAAATTGATTAAGATTCTCCTAATTTTAAGTTGGCAAGCGAAGCAAATTTTAAACTGTTTTTCTACCTTTGATACATGGCTACTCTAGCTAGTAAGCAGACATTGTTTTCTTTTGTTAAGGTCATCTGAATTGTGCATTGTAAACTCTCAGGGATGCATTTCTTACACAAAGCGCTACTGCCCTGTGCATGTACAATGCCTGGCACACAGAAGATAATAAAAATTTGTTGAATAAATGAATACATAGACACAACATGCCCACACACATGACAAGGCAGGACCAATAGGTGTCACTATCTCTAGTAGTCTCTTCCTTTATCTAGTTCCAGTTGGAACTAGAAAGTAGCCAATGGACTGCAAGTGAGCCTAGGAGAAGGTTAGGAGGACATTATCTCCTTCTTCCTTCTTCCCTTTCTCCTGAAATGGGCAAGTTTTCCCAGGGTCAAATCCATATTAGATGGGATTATAAGTGATCTCAGTGACAACTAGAATGCTAAGTTTATGTAAAACACAGATTTCAAATGTCCAAGTAGGTACTATGTAACAACCTAGACGGCCTGGCTCTGCTATGTAGTAAATGTGTGAACTTGGACTAGTTATGTATCCTCTCTGTACCTCAGCTTCCTGAGCTGGAAAACTGGGATAGTGATATGCACCTCGTAGAACTGTTGTGAGGATTATATGGAATGACAGGTTTGGTGCCCAGAACAGTGCCTAGCAAATAGAAAGCATTCAGGCAATATCAGTGCATTTTTGACTTAATGACTTTGACTTAATGACTTGGCATGCACATGGGAAATTCCTTAATCCCTAGCATTGGTAATTCAAGAGTCTCCAAATTTCTAATTGTTCCAAGGGTTCCAAAGTTGTTTTCAGAAATTTTTCATGTGGCACAGATCTAGACTAAAATCAGTCTAATTTTTTTTCTAAGACAAAAATGTCCCAGACTCTTGTTTTGTTGTTGTTGTTTACAAAATTGACATTCATTTGTGTAAGTCAATGGAGAGCTGTGTATGTCCTGGGACAGTGACTTACAGTGTTTTCCCCTGAAGGAGTTAATGCTGCTTCCTAAGAAGCCAACCGTGATTAACTCAGTCACTGGAAAAACCTGGCTCATTATCTCATATAAACAATCCACGGCTCTGAAAGGTCACGCTGCCTATGATGGAGTAGTCAAATAGCCAACTGCTGACATCAGACCACGATGTCTTTCATTAGGCATGAAATCTTGAATGATGCATAAGTAAATCGGATAAATGATCCACTGTCATTAAATCATACAGGCTTAATTTATGTTTTAAAAAGCGAATATGAAACACACTAATGAAGACTTTAAGATAAATCCATTGCACCAGATAATCGATCCCCTTCCTAGGAAAAAAATTGAACCCCAGAATTCTGAGATTTTTATTCCAATACATAATATTTAAGTTCATTGCAGTTGACAGCTAGATAAATAGACATAGAACTGCAGGCAATTTATTTTCTATGCTCATTTGAAAGGAAACAGTCATGAAAAGAAACATTAGTTCATGATAGAAAAAAATTTCTGCACAGAAGCTTTGCCTCTGTTATAATAAACATCTAATTTAATGCACAACCTAATTTAATATTATTTTGTCTTAGCTTTTAATTTAAAATTTATTTTTCTATAATTTATATCTTTACATGGTTCTGAATTTAAACAAAAGGGTTTAAAGCAAAAAGTCTCCCTTTCTATAATTAAGAGTCAAAATTATTGTTATTTCAGAAAAGAGGCAATAGAAACAGATTAACCGGGGGAGGGACACTCATGGACATTAAAATATTGATGCTGTTCTATTTCCTAATTTAGTATTATTCTTTATAATTTGCACAGGTACCAGCTATACTCTCTATATTATAAATATGAAATACTTCAAAACAGAGTGAAAAAAGAAATCTGTCTTCCAGTCTCTCCTTCAGATGTTTAGCTGCCTGGTCACTAGCAATTAAATTTTAGGTTTTTATCTTAAAGTTTTGTTTTTTTTTTCTTACAAACACTGTTGCAATAAATAACCTTGTAGAGACATTATTCCTTATGCATGCCAGTATTAGATTATTTATTGTGTGTGTGTGTGTTTTGCAGTAGGACAAACAGTATTTTATAAATTTTATGTTCCATATTAACTATTATCTTCTACACTATAACATGGAGTAAACAGTAGAAGTGTAAATAACAGTTCCAGATAAATTTTATAAGGGGGTGTTGCCTTGGGCCTCGCTGATTGACATTTGGCATCATTATCACTATTATTACTGTGTTAGTCTTTTAAGCTTTCACTTTGCACTGCAGGGCACAAAGAGAGAGGCATCTGTTACTGTAGGCTGTGGGGAGAACTAGAAACATTTTTACCGAAGTCCCTAAGTTAAATTTCCATTGTTCTTTGTTTTTGTTCTGGGCAGCCCTCACTTCCCCTGATTTCAACTCTTTAAGAGCTGTCCTCAAAGCTGTAATGCTCCTATAATAGTCCTCACTCCTTAATGCTTGCTAACTAAAAAAGGTCCCTGAGGTTTCTCCCACATAGCTCAATGGTTAGAAAATTAAGGTCATTTCTTTCTCTTCTGCCCCACCAAGCAAAAGTGTAGCCAGTCAATGTCAAAAATACATTGGCAATGATGAGAAATATATATTCCTTAGGAAAGAAATACTGGGAGTGTTACAGAAAAATTTTGGGTTCATGTATTAGCCCATGGGGAAGGATTCAATGTTATTTACATACGTACTCTCGTAGGTGCTTCTAAACATTTATTCACGGATAGGATTCACTGAAAATAGCAGAAAAATGCAGCTCTCATTTAACACTTAAACAGCTGAACATTGGCCGGGGGCGGTGGCTCATGCCTGTAATCCCAGCACTTTGGGAGGCCGAGGTGGGCGGATCACGAGGTCAAGAGATCGAGACCATCCTGGCTAACATGGTGAAGCCCCGTTTCTATTAAAAATACAAAAATTAGCTGGGCGTGGTGGCGCGCGCCTGCAGTCCCAGCTATCGGGGAGGCTGAGGCAGGAGAATTGCTTGAACCCGGGAGGCGGAGGTTGCAGTGAGCCGAGATCGCGCCACTGCACTCCAGCCTGGTGCCTGGCGAAAGAGTGAGACTCTGTCTCAAAAAACAAAAAACAAACAAACAAAAACAGCTGAACATTATAGCCTAAAAAAAAAACAGGGACATGCATGGTTTTAATGATTGTTTTTCATAACCATATACACTTACTACCACTAGATGGCGGTAAAACACAGACCATGAGTTGCCATTGACGGCGAGGGAAGCGGAGACCGGCACTAGGAGAGATTCGTTACTTCGGTTACACCTCCGGAAAAAGCTGGAGTGAAGTTGGGCTTATTTACAAAATAGAAATGTCATTTTTATGAAAAGAAAATCTCTTTCCAAGTTATGTTTGTTTAAACTGTATGAAATTGCTGGTTTGTAAACCAGAAAAGGTTGATAGACAATTTTATATGATTTGATCTAAAAAGAACTTAGATATCCAGAAGACAGTAATTGTAATTTAAATTAATTAAGGCTAAAGACAAGCTAAAAAATTAACACCAACTGCAAGCAGGTGACTATCTTCTTTCAGAGCTTGGCAGGGAGGCCCTAGTACAGTCTGCAAGCTTGGGGATGGTGATGAGGCCACAAGATCGCTGCTGCTGGGTGAAGTGGCTGAGGGGCAGGTAGGAGTATTGGAAGAATATTGGTTATGTTCTATTACCAACTAAATGGTAATATTCTATAGTGTTAATAACTAGTGCATTTTTCTTCCTACAAGTATCCCAGGTGCTGTATTTTGGTTACAGTAAAGGCAAAAAGATGTAGTTGTTGTTCCTACCCTGTATTTTCAAATCAGAAATAAGTACCTCCTTAGTCTGAATGATGTGAGGGTTTCTCCAGGGATCCAGCATAAAGCTTGGGTTTTCCTGCTTTCTCTTTCACCAGTGTCTACTTCATTTAACATTACATACTTCTACATGAGAATTCTAGTCAACTTAGAGTTTTACTACAGGGTGGTGCTGTCACAAATCCTGGGATCACTGAGCCTGGAGGCAGCTGACCACAGAGAAGAGTTTCCTACAGCTCATCTGCCTGTGCCTCCTTAGTGCTCCTTGGCCCCCAAGAGCTCTGGCTAAGAAAAAAATGTCAGTTGCTGAGTGCACTCCACTGGGATTTCTCTGTAGCCTTGATGTCTAAAGAAATACTCACACCAAAAGATTTCAACACAAACACAAGGGAATACTTCAACAATTAAAATTAAAAAAATTTAAAGCTGTCACTTTTTCTGGGGACCAAAGGGATTCTGAGCTTATAGGGGGAAGCATAAGAAATCAGAAGTGGAAAATAATTTAGGTTAAACACCAGCAAGAATTTCTAGCCCTGACAGTGTTTTAGACAATGGGATAGACTATGGAGGGATATTACATGATGTCTTAGGCTTTAGCCTGGCCAAAAAAGTGCAATATACCTTTTTTTAACATGACTTCCTACATTCTCTAATTTACGATTTTATTCTTTTCATGCCAAAGGAAACCATGATTTGGAAAGACCAGGGAGGAGTCCCTTTGTGTTTTAGAGATGGACTCAGGCATAAAGAAATTAGTTCTCAAGAAGAAGTAGAAGATTAGATGGGTTTGGGAGAAGATCTTTGAATACTTTAGAGAGTAGAGGGCCATTTTTAGGAGCCATGGGAAAGAAAATATGCACAGAAAAATAAATATCAAGAATATAAAGTAAAATGTCAGCAGTTATTTGGGGGTTTGGAATTTAAAAATTTTTCCTTTTCTTTTTCTTATTATTTTTCTAAACTTTTTATGGAAAAACTTTTGTTTTTATTTTTATTTTTTGAGAAGCATAGGTTTTCCCCTAAAATGTAGTGTGAAATACCAAACTTCAAAGCATACTAGGAAAAGAGGATAATTCTTTGGCTTACTTGACTGAATATTTTTCTGAATGACTTTTCTAAAACCAGTCGTTTTCTGTCCTTCAGTGAAAGCAATTATAACATATCAGGCAAATTTAGGTTGGTATCACTTCAAGTGACATAAATATCTTATGTTTTTAGTATTAAAAGAGTTAATGCTAAAATAGTTCGCATTTACCGTGAAATGGTAAGTGTTCTACTTTGTATTAAAGAAAATTTGAGGACTTAATGATTGGGTCAGCAAAATATGCCAATCACGTCCAACAGGGTTTAAGAGAAGGCCACCTAAACGTACTCATTGGGACTTCTCTCTCATCTGCCTCCCCATAGATGCTCTACCAGTGGTGAAACTCTTCAGGGTTGAACAGTTTTTTGTTTTGTTTTTAATTCTAGTGGGGCTTTCCAGATCTTATACTCCAGTAAACTGCCATTTGTAAAAACCATGATGAAGCCACTTAAAAAAGATCTGCAGCCTGTTGAGCAATGACCACTCTCTCTAAGGCGTTCCGAGTCACTGAGTCAATCACAAGCAAAGTCTTAATTTATTATGGGATTATTTTTAGGCATCAAATATGCCTATAAATTATACAAAGTTGATTTATATTCAAATTTCTAATTTCAAGTACATTAAGTATACATCTTTTTAATTTAAATAGCTTACTAACATGGAATAAATTATAGAAATGTGTATTTCCCAATATCTTGAAATTCTATTAGTTTTTCCTTTCTTGAGGATTATAGGTACACTACAGAAAATGTCCAATCAGGTAGAAGACCAGATTTCCTTAGATTTTAAGAGCTCTGATGGCAGGGTTCAAGTCCCATTTACGAATCTATTTGTTGCAGATTAATAAACATTACTTGAAGAAAGAAGACCAGATATCATACACAGAACTTTTTTCATTTTTTATTAAACATTTATATATATATTTTCTTATAATAATACCTAGATAGTTTGCTAAGAAACAAGAATAGCTACCTGAATGAACTCAAATTGGAATGATTGGTTTTATGTTTGGTAATGTTACTAACATTGTTATGCCTTATTTTGTCTGTTCACCTCTCTCTCAGCTCTTATAGAATTATAAGCTTTCTATAGTTATTAAAAACCTCTAGCTTTATAAGATTTTGCTATCATGTAATATTATTAAATCATTTAAGTGTGCCAGGCGCGGTGATTCAAGCCTGTAATCCCAGCACTTTGGGAGTCCGAGGCAGGCAGATCACGAGGTCAAGAGACTGAGACCATCCTGGCCAACATGGTGAAACCCCGTCTCTACTAAAAATACAAAAAAATTAGCTGGGCGTGGTGGCGTGTGCCTGTAGTCCCAGCTATTCGGGAGGCTGAGGCAGGAGAAGTGCTCGAACCCGGGAGGTGGAGGTTGCAGTGTGCCGAGATTGCGCCACTGCATTCCAGCCTGACGCCTGGTGACAGAGTGAGACTCTGTCTCAAAAAAAAAAAAAAAAAAAAAAAAAATCATTTAAGTGTAAATTTTTTGGACATAGAAATACAGGTACTAGAAAGAATTCATAATCTCCAGCAAAACCTTCAGCAAACAAGATATTAACCATCTGAAAAGGATGGTGGTTGTATTTTATTTTCAATTGCCTGCATTAATTAAAAATGGCACTATTATACATTATGTTACTGACGGATTGATTAGATTTTAGGTCTAAGTTATAGTAATAAAAGTTCAGGAAATTTTAAAAAGTAGAACTATACATAATCCTACTATCTAAACCCTGCTATTATCCACTTTTTAAAAATAATATGACATTTTAGAGATCAAAGAACATTTTAAGCTCTATACATTTAAACCAATAACAATTAAAATTTCCTTTAGTATTATATTTTCTAGCAATTGTGCCTAGCATTTTATAATCCTGGTATCATTTCAGTGTCTTAGCAACCTTATGAGGTGGGTACTTTTGGAGCTGTTATTTGACAGAGGAAGAGACCAGGCTTGGAAAAGTTCAGTGACTCACTCAAGTCCATTTCCTTGGCAAGAGGAGGTGAAAGTGTTTTAACTAGATCTGACTGTCCTTCATCCAGCTCAGTCCCCTAACTTTACCAGTTGGAAAAAAAGAGGATCCCAAAAATCTAAGTGAGTTGTCCAAGGTACAAGAGCACCTTAATGTATGATGCAGGCCTGGTTATAATTTATGCTATAGGCCTGATTGTAATTTTTACAACCTCTCAGGATTACTTGCATTTCAATATTTAACATTTCTCAGTCATTAGTGTTGGCTTTGAACCTGCTTCATGCCTCAGGTTAAATCAGCTTTATCTCATTCTGTCCTTAGTTGTCTATAACAGGGGCTCTCGACTTTTGCACACTGGAAAAATACTGAGGCCTTTAAGAAATACAGATGCTTGGATCAGATCTCCATTTTAAAAAATTTAATTGACCACAGCTGCAGCCTGGGTACTGGGATAAGAGGTCTCTAGGTTAATCTAACATGCAGGTAGGGTTGAGAAGTATTGGTCTATACATAGAACCCTTTCATATATATATTCCAAAACATTTTAGATCATTTTATCACCTTCCTGCATCTATGTCATGTAGTTAAAGTATTTTCATAACTTGTATGCTTAGAAGAAACAAGTAAACATCAACATGTCAGGTAAATTTTTGTACAAATGAGATATGTAAAAAAAAAAAAAGATAAAGTATTGGGTTGAATTGGAATATTGAATTTCAAGCACTGATCATGTACCAAATTATACTAAATGTAACTTAAGCCATGATACAGCCTTCTGCTTCTAGTACTTATGTCAGTTAAGGAAATATGGGTCCAATTAAGTATATCCCTTAGCTAATTTGTTATTTGAAGCAAACACACTCTTGGGTCTATGGGTTTACAGGAAACAGATTAATATAGCCAAAGTCACTTTCTCTAGCATTGCCTTTGAATTGCTTGAATGAACCAAGAATTTGTATTTATATTTGTGCTTGATTTAAAATTAAATTAAATTAACAACCAGAACTAATCCCCCAAATTAAATTTTTATATCTGTGAGAAACCTGCCCATTCACCAAGCTGTGCTTACCTGAGCAAATGGAGTCACAATCAAGTCATCTCCGTGTCTGAAAAAGAAACCAAATCCCACATTAGAAGTCACCAATAACTCTGTGCTCAGTGTTGATCAATATTAATGGCAAGTTCCACTTTCATGAATTCCCATAGAGAATTACAGTGATTCCATCCTTATTCTTCAGCACATGTTCTTCCCAGCAACTGGGTTAAAAATATGTCTTCCGGGATGTTAACTATTGTCCAACTCGCTGGGTAAACAGAGGGGCTTCTTGATCATCAGCCAGGGTCACTGTTGCTTTGTAGGCACACAGCATGTGCAGTAGTAGAAATGGTGTTCCAGCAGTGGGGCCTGAGTTTTACTTTTGGCCTCTTACTATAGATATTAGTAAGGAGTGCTATAGAAGGAACCAGCCACTGCAGTGACTTCAGTGAGAGAACCCTTGACCATCTAACATTTGAAGGTGATTAGTATGGAGTGTTCCGCATCACCCCGTGTAAGTCTTGGACAGGCTAGGAACTGTAGATGACATGGGACTGCATCATACACTAATAAAAACCCACTGAAAGTTTCAACTGACTCACATCCCAGCCACTGTAGTTACTGGGGCATGTTGCTCCGTGTGTGCTGTTGCTGCAGCAACCCCAGCTACACCGTGCCTGGGGTATGGGAGCAAGGTGTCAGCATGACGTGTCTTGGAGGGACAGGGAAAGGCAAAGAAAGTTGTGCAACATTCTAGTTAGAGGAAAGTGAGAAACTGGGGCCCAGTGTTCTTCTGTGGCATTTCTTCGCAAGAATAATTTGAGAGAAGGATTTCCAGAGTCACTATCAGCTATTTCTTGATCTAGCTAGCTAAAGTTCTTAAATCAAATGTGAATGCTGTTATTCAACACAGACAGCTTCCTGGACATGACCCTAATTGAGAACAGTGCAAATAAACTTTTCACTCATGCATAAACAATCTGAAAAGTATCCGAGTGACCCCAAACAACACCATGAAACATGCCGTGGCACAGGGAGCACATGGATGATGTCACTAAATAAATAGTTACCGATAGCTAGACTAGGTGGTGTGGCTATCATCAAACCATGTGGAGATTCTGGAAAATTAAAATGCAGGAAATAAAACCAAAAGAAGGTAAAAACAATTTAAAAGAAGCATGTGTTATTTTATACCCCCTTAGTTCCAGAAGCATGTTTTTCAAGAGGCACTTGCTCTTTGTAGAGATTATTCATAGAACTCTAGAACAATAAGGCAGGACATTGGGTTTCATGATCATTTATAGAGGAGGCAACTGAGGTTCAGACAGAGTGTAAGATGTAAAAGGTAATAAGTGGTAGAGGCAGGATTTCAATCAAAAAAGATATTTTCTCATCTTGAAGTTTAATTGCCATTGTAACAGTATTAAGAGGTGAGGGCCTGCAAGAAATAATTAGGTCACGAGGGCTCCACACTCTGGAATGAATTAATGCTGTTACGGTGGGAGTGGGTTAGTTATCTTGAGTGGGCTGTTATAAAGTGAGCCCAGCCCCTCATGCTTTTTCTTTTGCATGTGCTCACTTTCCCTTCCATCTTTCCATCCTTTGGGATGATGCATCCCAAATGCCCTAATCAGAGGCTGATGCCATGCCCTTGGACTGCCCAGCCTCTAGAACTGTAAGATATATAATTCTTTTCTATATAAATTACCCTGTCTGTGCTATTCTGTTATAGTAACAGATACTAAGATACTGCTCTTCTCTTATCAATAAATAATTTACATAACTCTCAAAAAAAAAAAAAATTCTTCGGAGGTCAAGCCCAGAAAGGCTCTTTCCTAGAGCAATGGCCCAGGGTGGGAGCAGGCCTGGTGCACTGAAGTGGGGAGGAGGCCACTGTGCCCAAGGGAGCCAGCAGGGAGGGATGAAGCCAAGGAAGCCTAGCAGTTGCCTAGATGAGGAAGAAGGAGATAAGGAGCTGCAATGAGAAGCTCAGTGATTCTAGAGAAGGCCATGCAAGGCAGGAAATGCCAGAATTGTGTGTGGTAATGAGCCAGGCTGCAGATCATGGAGACCTTGCACGACATGTACAAGAACTTGGATTTTACTCTCTGATGGAAGTTTGGGTTGGAATTTCAGTTCTGCCACATACTAGGTGTATGAACTTGTACAAGTTATTAAACTTCCCTTTCCCTTGGTTACCTCTTCTGTAAAACGAAGATAATAGCACATACATATAGTGTTGTTTGGGATTCAATAAATTTATAAGGTTAAGTGCAGAAAAATGTGCTGCCACACAGTAAATATTCAAAAAACATTGCTATAATAATAATTGGCAGTAGTAAATATTTTTAAATCATAATGATTTTTGCTTGCTATGCAGTCAGGGAATTGCAAAGACTCAGAAAACTGATACTTCATTAAGAAGAACTACTGAGCCTCTGTGACAGGTCTATAAAAGATTGAGGGCATTTAAGGGGCAAAAGGGAAGCAGGGAGACCAGTGTAGACAATAGAAGAGATGAGGACCTAAACTAAATCAGTGGTAGTTGAGAGAGAGAGGGAAGATGACAGCATTAAAATCTCTGGGGGAAAGAAAAAGTTCTGGGGAACAAAAGTTATGAAAATTTTAAACATTTACAAAAGTAAAAAGAATGTTATCATGGCAGGCATATTTTTAATACAATATTCCAACAACATTGCAAGGTAGGTGATATTACCCCCATTTTTCAGATGAGAAAATTGTAGCTCAAATTGGTTAAGAGACTTAACACAAAGACACGCAGGTAGTAAGCTGCACAGCCATGCCTGGAATGGTCCCCTGTTATGATATGCATTGGCAGATTCCTATGAAACAGCTTAAAAATATTAAAAATAAAGCTCTAGGAAAATGGCCCAATAAATGCAAATTTCAAAATGATGCCAGGGCTGGCCAGCTACATTTCTTCCTTGGCCTATCATTCTGACTTTGCCTTCTGGCTGTGTCATATAGGCAAAATGTAGCGCTACAATTTTTCTTATGTACTTATTTTGAAACAGTAGCCTAACTCCCACAAAACAACTAAGAAATACTTCCAGATACACCAGTGTTTAAAAAGCAAGAATACAAAATCCAGAGCTAAGCATTTGACAGCTTTCTACACGCACAAAGGCAACTTTAGGGTTCATTTGAAGCAAAACATTCTTGTGAGTGGTGGACAAATCAGTAAACTGTGTAGTGCATTAGAAGTCCAAACACAACAGACATTTTCAATAGCTGTATATACTACATATATTGCATTCAAGATAGTTCAATGGTTTCTGACATTAAAAAATGCTATTAAAAATTTACTGATGGGAGGTATATTACAAAAGGAGAAAAGACATGTTATCTATGCCTACTTGATTTGCCAGTTCGATAAACTATTAATCTGCCTCAATGCATGGCCAAGCTGAAGACATTGTATTGTAAAACGGACGAGAGGCAGTTCAGCTAGCCAAAATTAAAATAATATGAAATTCTGTAATTGTCCCAAGCTATCATCTCCTCTTTCATTTATTCTTTATATTTATCCTACTATGAAGTTTATTTTTTCAGAACTAAGTTATCTTGACCAAGCACATCATCAATCTGAAATGAATCCATGGAAATATGTCCCCTAATTTTGTACATAGATTACATTGGATTTGAATCTTTCACAACTCAAAAGGGTTGCATATTTATTAAAATGTTTAAATTTTTTCTTCGGTTGTATTTCCAAGTTTTATAAATGATATACTTAGAATATACAATATTTAAGATAATTTACCAGTCTTGCTTTATTCCCTATGAAAGCATAACAAAAGACAGTTATACTTTTAGTGAAGGGAATATGTTATTTTTTAATAAATTGCCCAGAAATGGTTTCTGCCAAATATCTCAAGATAGTCTAATTTTAGTAACAGTAAAATGTATTCCCAGCATTTCAATGGCAGATGTCCTCAATAAAGAGGTTATATCCTATTCTTTTATTTTCAAAAGTATATAATGCTTAAATTATCTCTGAATATGTACCTAACATATAATTTAAAAATCTTTGTCTAAGTCCTCAACTCAATATTAAAACAGATCTCTTCAGACATACTGTTACTAGTAAAATGAGGCAGGTAAAACATATTTTTATTTGTGGTTAGAAACATATCTTTTCATTGTGTCTTACAATTTGCTTATAATAATTTAAAAACAGATCTGGTAGTTAAGATCAACAGAAGATTCACTTTGTGAATATGATTTGGCTTAAAGTATGTGTGGGTTTTAATGAATTGAATAATAACATATGCTAAAAATATTCCTATGAAATAAAATGATTCTGAAATTTTGCAACTGAACAATTTTATCAAAAAGAAACTTTATTTAAAGTGCCTTGCCAAGTAAAGTGGGGTTGGGAGGGATTATAATAAATGTAATAAATTGGGGCTTCCTGAGATGGGAAGAGACAATTAGGGTCTCCTATAAAGTGTGACTGAGAAACTTGATTATTGCCTGGACACTTGAAATTGCACCTCCTGGTAATGTGAATTTTGGGTGAGGATGATGCAATATTGACTTTTATTTAAATAAAAATAAATATAACAACAATAACCCTTAACAAAAACAGCTGGGATCTGTTATAAGGAAAATACAGCTCTTGGCTGGGCGCGGTGGGTTACGCCTGTAATGCCAGCACTTTGGGAGACCGATGTGGGCGGATCATGAGGTCAGGAGTTTAAGACCAGCCTGGCCAAGATGGTGAAACCCCGTCTCTACCAAAAATATAAAAATTAGCCAGGCGTGATGGCGCACTCCTATAATCCCTGCTGCATGGGAGGCTGAGGGAGAGAAATGCTTGAACCCGGGAGGCAGAGGTTGCAGTGAGCCGAGATCGCACCACTGCACTCCAGCCTGGGAGACAGAGCGAGAATCTGTCTCAAAAAAAAAAAAAAGAAAAAATACAGCTCTTCAAAAAACAAAAAGAACTGGAGTGTTCATGGGGGACAGGTGGAGAATGAGGGATAGGAAGGCTCAGAAAAAAAGTCATTTTGACACTGGATGTCTATATGTATGTATGCACATATG